AGACAATCCCTCAGTCTTTTCTCGGCTGGAGCTTGCCGGTAAGACTCTCGCTGTTTTGGTAAGTCCCAGCAACACAAGTTACACGTCTCCCCAGGACACTAATAAGCCCCTAATTGTCTTCCGCTTCACACGGCTCGTACCATAGGTCTGACTTGGGGGAATTCTTCTAACGAGCGGCAGTCAGCACTCCCTGCGCCACGGACTGCATTGGGAGCCGCCTCACAGGCACCGAGACCAGAAGGGGGATGTGGAAAAATGGGGAGGAAAGCATCCTGGGCACTGGGGCCCAGCCGCAGCACAGAGCTGGTGGCCACTCAGAATCACAGAATGGCCAGGGTTGGAAGGGACCTCAAGGATCATGAATCTGCAACCCTCCTGCCATACACAGGGCCACCAACCTCCTCATTTAATGCTAGACCAGGCTGCTCAGGGCCCCATCCAATCTGGCCATGAACACCTCTAGGGACAGGGCATCTACAACCTCTCTGGACAGCCTGGGGACAAGGCCTTCTCCAGCCTCACTCCAGCTCTCCATCACCACTGTTCACCTGTTTGCCCCTCCTCCTCCTGACCTACCTTCTTTCCAGTGTCTAACTGGGATCTACCTTACCAGAAGCACAGCACCTGGTACACGCTTTCTTCTGATGAGGCTGTGCCATGTCTCTGCCCTAGAGTACAGATACAGAAGGAGTACATACGTATCATCTTCCTCTGGAAAGGAACACATACAGGTTTTCACAGGACAGGTTTCTAAAGATGGCCCCCAAATGATCAAGAATATAAGAACTTCCAAAGGTTGTGAGGTGGGTAGGAGATCAGAGCTCAAAATCCCTGATCAAATCAAGGTAAAGGGAGGATACTGTTGCCATACAAGTTATGGTCACGCTGCATCACCCTTTGCTTAACTGATCAGTCCCCTGATCAGGACCAAGAACTGCCGGCATACACCAATGTGGTGAATAGAAAAATGGCGTTTATTACTGCGTGGCATCTGTTTAAATACATTCATTTTCTACTTCGTCTACACCCCTTGAGCATGCATTGTCCAATCACTGAGCAGGGAGGTCCTGTCGTGTCACATCCCGTAGCCCTGTGGGCACCTAATACAACAGGATACATACTCCCTCTGACTTTCAACCCAAACTCTTCTTGGTAAACCATCATCATCTTAAATATAATTGAGCAAAACAGAACCCAATGACAATTTTTGACAAGAAGCCCATTTTGAGCAAAATACTTCAACTGATTCTAAGTAAAGATGCTCAGATCCTGCAGATCCCTTTGCCTTCAGGGCTGCTGGTTGCAGACTGATTGCTCCTGCCAATCTGCATCTTACCAGAAAGGATTTGTCCTTAAGATTTATAGTGCTGTGACTTTGGTGAACTAAGCAGGGAAGAGAAACCCCGGTGTGCAGGAAGGCAAGCTGAAAAAACAAATTCATGTAGAGTCCAAGAGAATGTCAGGTGCAGGTGATTACACTGCAAGGCAATTTAGGATAGTCAATATACATACGTATAAATAAGTCAGTGAAAGTTAGCAGTAACTAATGAAAGTTACTTTAATACAGGGTGAGGAATACAAAAATGAAGGTCACAGAACCAGGCAGACTCAGCATCCATGCCCAATTGGGTCACTGCTGGTTTCTTGTTTCTCATTCTGATTTAGCTTATGAACTTCCCTCCTGAATTTTTGTACATAACCTGCTGCATTTTGGGGTACTGTGAGAAGTGAAAGATGGCAAATGGCAAGTCTCTAATGCTTTAGAACTCACTTCAAGATTCTGTGATTACAAGGGAAGTTGTTAGATGTGTCTGATATTTTTGGGAAGGGAATCCTCCTTCGCACATCCACATGCCTAAAAACACAAAATTTAATTACCCTGTATTATTGCACCTACTCATCATTTGTTGGTCACAGAGACAGCCTTTCAAGCAATACAGAATCAAGTCAAGTATTTTGCACCCTTCCAAGATCTGATCAATAAATAAGGTGCAAGGTCACTCTTAGTGCCCATTTCTTTCTATTAGCAATTAAGTAACTGCTTTCAAGCTCACCCCTCTTCCTCTTTTCTGTTCCATACTGAGGTGTCTGTAACAGAGACAGGCAAGGAGAGTTCTGGCTTCACTGGTCACTGATCGGTATTATAGGAATCAGCAGGGAGGCCAGAGGTCAACGACATAAACCCAACAAGAAAACGCCTGTTCTGTGCATGCATCAGCTAGCAGAAGTCAGTCATCTTGCTGAAAGGGACACAGCAGAAAAGGTCAAGTCTAGAAACCAGCAGTTCCAGTGGATGGCAGTAAAAATGTGAAGAGATCCCTCCATGCTGAAAATTTAGCACAACCTAAACATGGCAATATTACACACATTCTGAATAGAATATGGATTGCACAATTTCAGAAACTGTACATACTTCTGACTACTTATGCTTTTGAATATCTTCACACACACAGACTAGAATCGATTGGCAACATTTCACTTCAAGTTTTGCATTTCATGTCCTCCTGATAGAAGTTGAAAGCACAGATTTAGGGGTAGATTTGCAGAGATAACAGTTCTAGAATAGGTTTGATTCCAAGAATCATAGCATAACACACAAACCAAGAGGATCCAGCCTTCTTTCACCTTTCACGTTTTTTCTCTTTTTCTTGCCTTTTAAAAATATCAAGGCTCATCTTTCATCAAGGTGTATTTTTCTCCCTGCCAAGAATTTTAAGTTAACAACCAGAGGTGAGTGTTTTGCTGCTTGTATCTATGCATTTCAGCGTGAGCTACCCTTGAAAATGTAAAAGGTTTTGGGACAAGAGAGGTTAATATGCATCTCCTGCAACACCAATTTAGAACTTTTTTTTTTTTTTTTAAAGTATGAGAATTCCTCACTTTCGATGCCATGAGATGCTAAAAGAGCCACTGTGAAGCCAACAGGTGGTCACTGGAGAGTTCTGGATAAAAAACTGATGAAATAATACATGTGATGCATAACCCATACCTTAAATGAACTATTAGAGGAATGGGAGGTGACAAAACTGGCAACAATTCTTACAAACTACAACAAATTCTGCTCAAACTACAGTCCACCAGCTTTTAGCATCAATTGCATAACTCAGCAAAAACTAGGAGATGTCTAAAGAAGAACAAAACAGATGGAAGAATACATCACATATAACAGGGAAATGTGAACAGATTTAGTGGAAGATATTTTTTCCACACAACTATTGTGTATTGTACAAGATGTTAACAAGCACAGAAGGATGACCTTGTGATATAATTGAGTTTTACTGAAGTATTCTTCTGGCTCTTGAAGAAATGTCATGAAGTAATAGCCTACATCTTCCTGGAAATCAATGAAAGATTATAAAATAGGAAATGAACAGCAAGAATAACTGGTCATTTTTTGTAAAACAGGGAGGTTGGCAACTTGTCCCACAGACCCTTACAGGGCCTGTGCTACTCACTGTCTTTGTCAACAATCCAGTCAGTAATGAGATGACACTTGTTAAAAGGCGTCAGTACAGGGTTAGGGTTATGACATGGGCATACAAAACTAAGGAGGGGGATTACTGTCACATAATACAATTTGCCTATCATACACAGACAGCTCTGAGATACAATCATTTTTCTTTTTGGAGTGCCCTTGGTGCCTGGGATTCATCCTGAGAGGAACTCCAAGAAAGCGTCAGAATATGTGGATGCCTCAATTAAGAATACATCTTTGATATTTTGAGTGACTGTTGACTTTACTAACAGAATAAAGTAGACATGGTCAATGGATTTTCTGTATTCATAATCTGGAAGTTGTCCTTTTCTTTTGATCATGGATGTCTACAAATTTGTATTAGTTTCGAAGTATTACCAAAAATGTTGATGCAAGCTTGCTGCAACATCACTACCATAAGAGACCAAGCTTTCAGACCACAGAAAAGAGATGCATTTGACTTTTTTTTTTTTTTTTTTATGTACCACAAAGGTTGATGAAATACCTAGAATCACTTCCTCATCATGAAGCGCTTGGTACAACTGTTTTCACAGCTGGGAAAAAAAAGCACCATTTACCTAAGACAAGTTGCCTTAGGTGAAAATGAAGTGGATGAGATCAGATTTGCAGTCCCTGTGCATGCAGCTAAGTGATGACCCTGTTTTTAGAGCTACTCAAAGCAGGATTTAGGCAATATTGATGTGGGAGAAGACAGTGGAGAAACCAAATACAAGCCATCATTACTACTTACCTCCACAGCATGCCTGCAGTCTGAACACTCCACAGATTTTCTTAAGGCATCAGTGAAAGGATGTAATAGAAGACAGAGATGCCAAGGAACAAAAATGTAACAGACAAAAAAAAAAATCACAAATAGAACAGAGACAGGTTAAAAACAAAACCAAAAGCCACCTGTTTTTGACAATAAAAGAAATGAAAGGTTCAAAATCAAATTATCGCGTAAGCAGGTTTAAAACAAACAATAATGTTAAAACAAAAACTTCTTGTACAGCTGAAAGATAGAATTCACTCCCATAGGGCATTTTAGGAGCCAGAAGTACAAATAAATTAGGACTAAAACAAATGAATGGTGGTAGGGTCTACTGCATACCAGGCTCAAATTAGCTCGAAACATCACTAAGAGATTGCTAGACAGGCTAACCTAAAGCAAAATCTATGCACAAGCCTCTTCTGTATATTCTTTCCTATGCATCTACAACTGTTTAAAGCAAGAAGATGATTACAGGTAAGACAGGTTTGTGATTTGCCTTGTAACAGCACATTACATTTTTATGGAACACCACAATAAGATAAAAGAATATGGTTTAAATATCACCTCTGAGTTGGATGAGTCAATTTTACTTCTAATATTATTTCTAAGAGAGTTGTTGGAAAAAAAAACAAAACCAGAAATTGCAGGTTGTAGGATTGTTCCAAAACTGTCAATTTTGTAATGGCAAAGCACTAAGCTTAATGGAATATTACCCTCTTCCACTTAAAGCACAACAAGACTTTTATGATTATATCAATTAATAGAACAAGATTTTATTCTGAGTTGGATTAAACTCTAAAGCACTGGACACTCCAAAAATGAAGTGAACAGCCTTTACAACTACGCATTTAATACAACAACAGCATTTAAAAGGAACTAAAACCATAGGTTTCATTTCCAAGAATCTGACAGTAACATCTAACATACCAATGCATGAAAATACTTCATAAAGCACTGCACAAGCTCAAAAGCTCAAATAGTATTACTGAATTGTGATCTTATTGTACTCTTCATTCACATCATTTATCAAAATTTGTTGTTGTTGTTTTAAAATATAGAAATTTACCAGCAATATAAAGTCACCCAGATGTTATTATATAGATAGATGCTGCAGTGATGTTGGGAAGGACATCACTGAAGAGGGAAAAATGGTGGTTCAAGAGGGTATGAAAATTTCCAGTACCATCTGGATATTGCCAACTATTTACTTACTGACAGGAATGAAGTAGTCACAGGTTGAAAACTGAAGTGGTGATGAGCAAAGTGTCTATCAACTTAACAGTTAAGAAGAGCCTAAGAAAGAGCACTGCCCAGGTGACTAAGCCAACAGCTTTTGCATTCCAGAGGGCTCTTCTGGAAACTCAGGCTACTCTTTGAGCTCTATATTTGTTTGTTATCAGATTACAGAGCAGTAACAGATTACAATTCTCCAGCTATCATACAAAATATGTATATGTATTACCAATAAAAATACGCAGCACTGGCTGATCTCTACAGATGACAAAGTACAAAGCCAATAAATACAGTTCTAAGGCACATATTATTTGCTGCCCTATAGACAATAAGTACTGTATGGTTAAGGTTTTCTATTTGTTCTTAAAAGACATGTACGTTACTAAGAACTACTAAAAGCCTGAAATTTCTTACTGGACACATTAGAAAACAAACAGGCATTGATATCTTCTCCTACATTCCTCCTCCTTTTAGATCTCAATTTCTTAATGTGTTGGATCAACAAACCTGTATGAAATGCACAAACTTGTATTAGTCATACAGACCAAGTATCCCATTATGTGGTGTGTATACATACTATATGTAGTATACAAACTTATAATTGCATTTTAAATGTATAATTTTTAAAACTACATTAACATCGGCTTGCATCAGCAGCTTTTGTCTCTGGACCATCATTCTTACCTTCTCACTCCGATGTCTTATCTCTCATGTCCTCAAGGGATGGAGTTCCTGTTAAGCATGGTACTATGTAAACCAAAGTAGGGAAGTAAATCCACTAAGTTTGAAACCACGCTCCTGAAATTCCTAAATATTCAGTATTTGTGCATGACCTTCCTGGGATTTGTTATTTAACTGCTTAAATTTAGATAACTAGAGCTGTCCAAAACAAGCCTGGTTTTCACTGATAACAACCACGACCATAGACAGCAAGCTAAAATACCACAGTCACCTTAAGAAAAAATTCAGAGGAGTCTATTTGACTAAAAATCTTTTATCACACACATACATAACTGAAAACAGTCTCTCTCTGCAAAGACAGACATATGCAATGCTCTAAAGACAACCTGTTAATGACAAGGCACAGGTACTATTTCCAAGACCTTTCTCCTCTCACATGTGATCATCAGTCTGGGAAAATGACAGACTCTAAAAAGCATGGATGCTAAAAGTAACATTTTTAAATGGAAAAAAAACCCTATTCTTTATCCGATGTTTTAACACTATGTTTTACCCTAGAAAGATCACAGTTACTAACACTTAAACTATTATTTCCTAGAAAAATAGGATTAAAAAGAAGTCCTTGTAAACAAAATCCAAACATGCTCCTTAACTTCTTAGTTACATGAACATGCAGAAGTGCATTAACAGAAAGAAAATGCATTAAACTGTAAAATGAGTAAAGTCCAGAACTGTGTGTTAAGAAAATTCTCCCTTCAGAATTTTATTTCTGCAGGTGAACCTAATTTTGAGATCCCAGTTTTCCAAGTAATGAAAGTACCAAGAAGTGATACTTTTAGAAGTGTGAAGACTCCATTTAAGCAGAGTATCCTCACAATGGGGCTCACAAGTCTGCCCATTTCTGGAGCATTGAAACATTACTGCCTTTCAACCTTATATATCTACTCTGTTTCTAGCTCTGTAGGAAGCAAATTGAGAATTGCTGAGCAGACAAAGCTGTTTCTTTGTGTATACGCTGAGCTTACTATGGCAACTATTTCCTTCATGGTAACACTTCATAGCCCCTAGGTCTGTCAGTCTAGATTTCACTAGAAAACTGTAGCACTCTAAGCTCTCAGTACACACAATAGTTGATACAAGCCATGGGAAGTGAAAGGACCAACAGACTGAAGATCCTCTTTGTAGTGGGCACATTTCTCTGAAGGCAGAGATCAACTGGAATCTAATGCAGACTGCACTCAATTTCTACACTAAAAGCAAATGTTCTGCAGAACCACTGCTATCTATCTCAGACTGCACCCCAAACTGTTGTCCAGTCATTCAACACAGAATTTGTGTGTAGGAAACCAATGCACATACAAGACACACGAAGGCCAGTGCAACAGGATGCATGCTGCCAGTTTTATGAAGAGCTGCTGTGTACTTTACACTGGTGCTGCCACTCGAAAACAATCCAGTGAGGTCACCATGGGGGCACACTTTGAATAGCTGACTAAAAAAAAAAACAACCAACCAATCAGGTGACCTTGCTGTTGCATATCAGGGTCAAATCCTTCCATTTGGGTATCTTAAGGCAGGAAGAAGTCTGAATTCCAATGCACCTAATCACAGTCCTAGTAACCTGTGTATGCAGTATGTCTCTCCTGCAAAGAGAAGAGCTGTGGAAGTAAAAGAGGTGCTTGCTTCTGAGGGTCTACAGCAAGAGCTTTGTACTTCTTAGAAGTTTTGGGGTTCATCTGGATCCACAGTACGTAATATGATCCAGTCAGGATACTTTATTGTCCCAGCTTCAGATGCTGTAGTTACTTCTTGGGTTTCTCTAAGATGTTCAGGAACTTCCCTCGAGTCATTTCTCTAGCTGAAACAACAAGGGAGGAAAGAAAAAGATTAATATTGAAAGAAATCCAAGAAACCCAAACAGAGTTGTGTATTTTACAGTATTTAACCAGAGGGTAAGAAAATCATTTAATTTATGCTTCTACTAAGAATAAGGACTTACTTTATTTAAGTGAAAGGTAAATAAATCTGCATTACAGCCCAATTTCCTGACAACCTGGAAATGCAAGCAAGGCCTGAAACTTTCTAAACTCAGCAATAACTCCCAAAGGCTGCCTTGTTACATAGAATCTCAGCTTTCTATTCCTACTGCATTATTCTCTTGCAGACTCCACTTCTGTCTGTTGCCATCCACCTCTGAATGGTATAATCCACATCTCCATCACTCTGTCTCAAAGCAATTGTTCCTGGATGTTATAATCCCATCAGATTATGGAACTCTCTCCATTTCAGGATTACTGGTCCCTGGATGCTACAATCTCCAACAGAAATCAGTCAGCATTCTCTCTCAGTAGTGTCAATCCCTGGATACAGTAATATAACGGGGTTTATATTCCCCCAGCAGAGTTCATCCATGGATGGTGCAATAAACTAAAGTTTATAGAGCTTTGGTCTTCTCGCTCTCTCTGCATTGTCATTCCTTCGATGTTTAATACAGCAAGGCAAGGTTTATACATCTCTCTCAGCACCATCAATCTCTGGTAGCTGTATTACACAGGGTTTACAAAGCCACTTTCCTGCATGAGACGCTTCTGACTTGTGAACACAAGCTCACAGACTGGCAAAGCAGCCCACATACCATCTTTGTCTCACAAAACAATGCAATGCATCAAGGACAGCATGATTAGTGACAAGAGTCCTGGAGAGAGACCATTTCCCCACTGGAGCTTCCCATCATTTCTTTCACATAAAAGCGTGAGCTTCGTGCTGGACTGACAGCCATCAAAACATGGATGTTTTTATTCACAGGATTGATGAGAGCATGCACATCTCCCCATGCCTAACCTAGAGAGATTCTGAAAGGCAGAGATGGGAATTAATTTCCTGTTTTCTCCATTCAATTCCTGACCTCTACTGAGAGGAACAGGAGCAATGACAATTAGCATAAAAAAAACACGAGGTGAGTGTGTTGCTGATGTTAACTTTTACTCAATATTACTTGTTATCTGTTTGAATAGAACTTAAATATAATAAGTGTTTGTTTAGCTTAAAATACTCGAATACTCACCATCAGGTAAAGGTATTTTGTTATTTTAGCTGTAAAGGTTAGAAATTGTGCTTTGAAAACTATTCTTTAAATTAGTACATTCTAATTTAGAAACTCAAGTTACACCATAAGGTGCGGACATGTAAAACAGTATTGTTACAAAGTGCCTGGCACACTTGGACATTCGTAGGCTACAAAGTCCATTGCCACAAGTGGAACATGTCCCACACAGCTACTGCAGCTCACTGTGTTATTCACATGGTTCATGCCATCAGCTGCGAGTTTTATCATCTGGGATCCATTCCCAACTCTGCTTCTGAATCAGCGTGAGCTACACAAGTGTCATTTACTCCTTTGTATCTTTACCTCCCCGTCTGCAAGATAGCCTATGTCTTTCAGTGTTACTGAAGGGACACATTGGTAGAAGGCGCTGAGAAGGGCAGGAAACAGACTGCTGTTTTGTCAAGATCTAAGTTGTGTAGCACAAAGAATGTGATTAAATAAAAATGCAAGTTTCTGAACGTGTCAGGTAGGAAGCAGTTTTCACCAACAGTTCTAAGACATCTCCCTGCCTTGCACCAGCAACAGTGCCTGGCTTTGAAGCACTTCTTATGGAGAAAGCACAAAGCTGAACTACTGCTGATTGAGCAGAAAGTTTTCCTGAGTGCAAGTCCCATATAGGAGATATACGAATACATGACAATTCTGTTCCCTAAAGAGGCTGCACCCCATAAATCAGGCAGAGAGCATAGACTCCTTCTGTGCGCTGAGCAAAATTACTGTGGGTTGGGGGTTGCTCCAGAACACGTGGCCTCCTGTTCACTTGTCATCTGAGATGTTAACATTTCTGATTAATTCACAGACCTCTCATTTTATTCTTCATTCCTTTATCCTTGCTATCCTGTTCTGCTGCAGCTTAAAGATTCTTACCGACCTGCTACAATAATCACCGCCCGCTTCCCCCCCCCAACCTGGTGAAATTGTTTAGTGATGCCAACCGCGCTTTTAATTTGCAAGACATCAGACACAGAGGTAATTTATACCAACATCTGTTCATTTCTGACTTCTGAAACAAACTCGCACATGCTGCTACAAAATCCCATTAGGAGCAGGAGACAGCCTTCTGCTATTCTGTATTCCTCTTCTCCTCACATACTCAGCCTTGCAACAGGGCTTTATTTTTAAAGATATGATGCCAAACTGAAAGAAAGGACCTTACATCTTTGTATATGTATGAAAACGGCCAGGAAATAACATCCTCATACCACAAACAAATCCCAGCCAAACTAAGGGCAAGTTTCCACAAACACTGACAATCTTGTTTTCCCTGCTTCAGCTGCTTCTCTTGTCTGCCCAGGGATCACAGTTCAATGTATTCCTCGTAAACACAGGCCAAATACATATTACACGGTGCTGTGTTCAAACGTCTTGGCTATTCCTTCCCCTTTGTTCCTCTCAGATCTGCACTGGAGTATGTCTTCAGCTTGGGTTTCGCACAGAAAAGCCTCAAATATTAAACTGACTCTGCTGCTCAGCATTGCTTCTGATGAATGAATTCTTAGGAACAGGAATCAATTTCAACTGGGCCCTTTGGAGCTTGCTGGAAAAAGAAAGAGCTTGTGAAGTAAGAAACCACCACCCATATTCTAAATACAAACACAGCCTGTGACAGCAAAACCCACCTTAAGCCACTATCCAAAGGACCAGCAGAAGCATGCTGTATGGCAGATAGAGGTGGACTTTTTAATTACAAGATTGGACAGAACCGTAGTGAAAACCTTAGGGATTTTTCTTTAAAATGGTTGCTTAAACTACAGACTTGTAGTGGAAAAAGGGCTTGAGCACAGGTTTCATTGCACCAGCAGACAGCCACTACAGAGGCTGTGCAGCATGAAGCAGAATCATGAATCTCCACGTCAAGAGACAATTTACAGCCTTGCCTTAGCAGTGCATCTACTACAATAGAAAATCAACAATGGATATGATCGCAATAGCTTGGATACAAATTAATCTCACATAGTAGGGAGGAAGGAGAGGGCACTGAAGACCACAGAAAAAAAATGTGAACATGTTATCAGCACTGGTTACAATGGAAGTTGAGTGCTTCAATTGACTCTCAAAAAGATAACTATTGTAAAATGGTTTCAGGCTGTTACAACTAATAGAGAATGCTGTGCCCTGTGAGTTAAGTTTGCTGCTGGGGAGAAGCAGATCTCAGGAACAGGTATTGGACAGTAAAGTCTGAGGCTGAAAGGAGAAAGATTTCTACTTGATAGGGGAACAGAATAAGGTTTAATATAATCTCCTCTTTAGAACTTCAATCCTTCAATCCCGCATTTAGCCTTGTTGCCTGGGGTCCTTTTCTACAACTGCCCTCAAGCTGCTTCGGCGCAGTAAATTTTGTGGTTGCTAGTTGAAAAGATTCAGTAGTACAGATTGATTTCCTACAAGTGAGGAGATGAGGGATTACCAAAAGCAGTCTTGGTTAACAAGATTGGGTGCAGATCTCTTGCGAGAGCAGCCCACTCTGCCAGTGCTTTGCATCCTTTCACTATGACATATGGGTTTCATTACACAAAGATTTTCCTGATTTTAACTTGGAAGCGATTATACTGAAAACTCAGAGTTATCTTTACATCTGTAGCAATTTAAAGGTTAAGTAACTTTTAATCAAATGACAAGGACTCAACGTTTTTTTTCCTCCAGTGAAAATGAAAACTGCTGTTCCATATATTCCTTCATGACAATTTAATAAGAAGAAAAAACAATGCACCGGAGATCTGGGCCCACTCTGATTGCTCCCCATAAAAAGCCTTCTCATACATACAACAGCACAGGACAAGCTGTATCATAAGGTTCGGAGAGCCAGGAAATAATGGGAGGATTTACTGCTATAAAGTCAGCAACAAAAATAGTGACTTATATAAGAAACTTTCATCCAGGAGAATCCCTAAGCAACACACATACATACATATGTTCTTAACATAGCATATAATTAAATACAAAAGTGCAGACAAAGTCTAAGAACAAAATGTGAGACAAACTATATTTATGATCATAATCTTACTTTCCACTGCTTACTGTTTCTGGGCGTATCTCAAAACAAAGCCTGTGAGCACCTCCAAATCAAAGATATTTTAAAATGAAGTCAGCCCTCATTGAAGATGCACTTCCCTGTCTCTTAGGCAATTTTGACTGGGCTTCTCCTCCAACCTGAAAATGTAACCATGTTGATATCTCAATGCCTTGCTACTAAAAAAAAACTGGGCATACAATTAATGTCACATGAACATAACACGTCTTAAGCCCTGTAGTATCACACTTCAGATGCTACATTATTGACCACCAAAATATAATTTGGGGCACTGTCATAATTTGTTAGCTTTTCAATTAAAATATTCCCCCCATTCAGTTCCATACAGTTGTACTTACAGTAGTCAAGGACTTGATGTTCAACATGGATTCCTCTAAAGTATCAATCATGCATTTTCAAATTGCTGTGTCTTAGCACTAAAGAGACAACAAAACTAAGAGGGCTTATTTGTGAAGAGCTATCAGTGTAAATTACCAGTTCAGGGAGAAGAACATGAACTGCAGAAAGACAGCAGAACACAAGTCTAGGTTAACTCTTCTGTCACAAGGGTATAAAGCTGCAGCAATTATTTCTTTTGTCCTTCAACACAATGTTAGGATAAGAGGACAATTATTTTTCCTTGTTAGCAGGATAGACAAAAAGGCACGTAGAAGGATTCTGCCCAGGAGTTAATGTGGGATTCTTGCTTCTGAGACTTGTGAGAGCAAACAGCAAAGCCAAG